AAAGGCCCTGTGGTGGAATTAGACCTGGCTGGTATGAGCAGAAACAGCATGTGTTCCAGTGACTTTTCTTGGTGCTGTGGACCGAACTTGGGACTTCAACATACTAAGCACACGCTGTACCACTGAGCTACACCCCTAGTCAGAAGTAGCATTTTTAGGTTCTAGCTTTTGTTCCAAGTCAGCTGCGGTGCTTCAAGGCGAGATCATGAACAGGCTGTTTTTCCTTAAATAACTGTTCTGTCCTGGAATGCAGCTCACAACCACTGTGCCTTTGTTGAGCAGGAAGCATGATAGCTGAAGGCCAAGGTTGAAGTACCAACGCTTTTCTCTTGATAAGGCAGGGTGTGCTCATTCATGGATGATACTGAAATAACATTCTAATCACACTTTCACTGTTGTCTTCAAAAACTAAACTGGGAGGCTGGGGTTATAGCTCAGTTGATAGAGTGCTTGTCTTGCATGCACAAGGTCCTGAGTTCAATCCCCAGCACCCCACACTTTCAAGAACTATGTAATGTTTTGAACAACCAACAATAAAAATTAAAAAAAAAAAAAAGAAGAAAAAAAAAAAAAAAAACTGAACTGGGAAAGCAAGCTGGGAGCTACCTGTAGAGGGCATGGGCCTGGGAGTTGGGAAGCTTAGGAACAGAACTGGGAATGCAATGTTGGGAAAGTGAACCCCTCCATGAACCCTTCCCTGTGTCAAAGGAGGGCCTGGGCTTGACTTCCTAGAGCTCTTCCTGCCCTAGCATTCTGCCCTGTTTATCTGAGTGAAGATGAGCTTCTGCTACTCGCCTTGCTCTGGCCTTTGAAAAAAGTCTCAGTACATCATTTCTTTTACGTTCCTATTTTGAAATGAACACTATAACATATTGTCAGGCACTACCTTCCCTATATGTATTCCCAGATATAATCCTTATATATAACAATTCTCTGGGGCCAGCTGTCATAATACAACATTTTTAAATAAGCAAACCCAGACATGGAGAGCTTAAGTCACTCACCCAAGTTCACACACAGAAAGGGGTAGAACAGAAACTCAGGTCCCAGACTAATCAGTATACGATGCTTATTAGAACTGTGTGTGATATTAAAAGAATAGTATTAATGTAACAGGGGCTCACTTCATGTCTTGACTGTAGCCCTTGGGGCTTTGGAACTTTCATGTTTTTTTTTTTTTTTTCCTTTTTCCCAACCTTCTTCTCCCTAACCTTCTCCTTCTTGATCTTCTTCTCCCTGATCTTCTTTTCCTTAACCTTTCCCCTGATCTTCTCTGATCTTCTTTTCCCTGATCTTCTCCTTCATGATTTCTCCTCCTTAATCTCATTTTCTCTTAATCACCTCTTTAAAAACCACCTGTTCCTGCTGATGGGGAGAATCACAGTCTTTGGGACAGGAGTCCCCTGTGTTTCTCCTTTCCTAGCCAAGTAATAAACATAGCATTCGGGACAAGGACCAAGCTTTCGGTAACATTAAGGTTCTTTTACAGTATGGAAAGTATAGAGACTTGACTTAGTAATGTAATTTAAAAATGTCCTCCTTAGATACCTCAATACCTCAGAAATGTGTTCTTTGTTTCTCTGAGGTTTGGAGCTGTGGAGGTAATACCTTTGTAGCTGGGTGCAGCCACCCCATCTGTCCAGTATGATGGGGCCTCGTCTTGTGTACCTGGCAGGTTTCAATGAGTGCTCCAGGTGTATGCTTAGGAACTTAGTTACCAAATGCAATTGTATGCATGCTTCTTCAGTTTAGGGAGCATCTCATGCATCTTCTCCCTGGACTAATGGTTCTTGAAGTCTAGACCACTAGATACTAAGACCCTTTCAGAGGAGCTGCAAGATGAAGACTGTTTCCATAATACCAAACCTCATTTCCATTTTCATTGCATTGATGTTTATACTGTGGTGCAAGAGCAATGGTAGGTAAAACTGCTAGAATCTTGGTGTGATGAAGATAGTGACATCAAACTGTTAGCAACAGTAATCATATTCTTCATCACCAAGCACTCTCAGTAAAATAAACAAGTACCTGATTCCCTTAAGAATGTCCTTGGAGCTGGGTGCCGAGGCACGTGTCTGTAATCCCAAAGGCTCTAAAGGCTGAGGCAGGATGATCACAAGTTCAAAGCCAGCCTCAGCGATTTGGTGAGATCTTAGGGAACTGAGCGTGATTCTGTCTCAAAATAAAATATGAAAAAGGGCTGGGGATGTGGCTCAGTGGTAGAGCACTCCTGATTTCAATTCCTGGTATGCAAAAAAAAAAAAAAAAAAAAAAAAGCAATAAAATTTGTACTTGTGTGCCTGAGCTATAAGTGGGGTCTCACATATTTTTTGAAGAGCACCCATTTTTACTGAAAGAGTAAATTTTTTAAATTTATTTATTTTTTTGGCACTGGAGATTTAGCCCAGGGACAGACTATGGCCCTGTGGCAGAAATATTTTTGACAACTAACAAAGTGAGCTTGTTATTTCAGAGATAAGAGTAAACAGCTCTTAATTGTAAATGATAAAATTTTAGGTTTTAAGAAAGACTAAATTATTTGAAAATGTGTATCCATCACTATATAAATTAGAATTTCCTGAGATGGCTGTAATATTTTAATATATATAATGTGATTTTTGATATTATATAGTCAACCTTTGGAAGATATGCATACACTGCAGTAGTAGTCATATAGTTCACTATTATATCAGCGAACCAATATTTGTTAACAATGTATGATGCTATAAAATTATGGATGAGCAAAGATACAAAGTACAAGGCAGACCAGTGAATTTTAATAGAGTATGAAAAGTTCATTAGTCCAATTTCAGGTTCCGTATAGTTTTTTTTTTTTGTGGCGGGGGGCAGGGGTGTGTGCCAGGGATTGAACTCAGGGGCACTTGACCACTGAGCCACATCCCCAGCCCTATTTTCTATTTTATTTAGAGACAGGGTCTGAGTTTTTTTAGCATCTTGCTGTTGCTGAGGCTGGCTTTGAACTCACAATCCTCATGCCTCAATCTCCTGAGTTGCTGGGATTATAGGCATGTGCCATTGTGCCTGGCTTAATTTCAGATTCTCTATAGTACCCATCTTTAAGAAGTTTAAACTATGAAAAAACCTAAAAGTATTAGGAAACAATTATCTATAAAGGTTATTAAAATAGTCCTCCTTTTCCCTTATCTATGAGGCTGGATTTTCTTCATCTGCTTCAATCAAAACAAAGTATCACAACAAATTGTAGAAGCAGATATTAGAATCCACTGTTAAACTAGACATTAAAGATTTCCAAACTTATAAAATTCCACTCCTCTGGCCAATTTACTTGTTGGAAAGTAATTTATAGAAATATATAATTGATATTTATATATAGTGCTTTCATCAGTTCATTTTATATATATATATATATATATAAAATCATACCCTCAGCTTTAATATCTACTGCAATAATTATTGATGAATATAAACCGTATAAAGCTGTTTGGGGTCTTTATAACATTTTTAAGGACCAGAGGCCTAAAACCACAGTTTAAAGTGGCACTATCTAAAACCCTTGCTATGGTCTCAGGCAGGCATTGACATAGTTAGACCTGATAGAGCACTGAAAGGAAGCTTCAGGAAGCTTCCCAAGCTGGCTAGAACTGCATTCTGTCTTAATTCCTACCATAGGTTCTTCATGTTACTATGCCATCTTTCAGTGTGATGGCATGGCTTGATGTCATCTCTAGTAAAAGAGGAAACAACAAATATAAAAAGAGCTTTGCAGTGGGCAGGGAAAGATGAGAATATTCATCAAGCAAAAAGACTAAGCAACACTGGGCCAATCCCATGAAGCCTCTTTGCTGCTCCAAATGGGCAAAAATGAGGCATGGGGAAGAAATTGTGCTGAAAATGAGAAGCAAATGGTTGAAAAGACTTACTAAAGATTGTTTGTATGTTTATTGTTTTAAATCTTCTAGTTAGTTTTCCACATTCTAGTTATGGAATTTCTGCATTTGAGATTTTCTGCAATGTCCATCCTTGATGTAACCCTTCTCAAAGAGACTGAGTAATAATGCAAGGAGACATGGGAATTGCCCTAGGCCTTCTCTCACCACTAACTTTTTACTTTTGAAGAATTCACTATGGTTTTATTTATTTTTTTGGCATTGGAGATTTACCCCAGTATTGCTTTACCACTGAGCTATATCCCCAACCCTTTTTAAAAAATTTTAAGACAGAATCTCACTAAGTTGCTTAGGGCCTCACTAAGTTGCTGAGACTGGTGTTTTACTTGTAATCCTCCTGCCTCAGCCACCAGAGCCACGAACCACCACACTAGGCCTGCTATGGTTTTAGAAGTGCTTGGCATTCATCTTCTGCTTCTTATGCGGAATTGCACTGATGTGTAATTTGTACACGATAGCTTCAAATTTGGGACTGTTCAAGCTTAAAATGAACTTAATATCTTTAGAAAAAGTGAAATCATCAGAAACCATCTAAATAAACTAAGTGTCGTCTACATCTTCCTTTCCTGGGAAAGCTATTTGAAAACCAAATAAAGCAACAATAAAATGGATTTTGAGTTCTAACACCAAAGACCAGCTGATGACAGCAGCTGCTGGACTTTTTACAATATGAGGGTTAAAAAAAAAAAAGCAAAATTATGCAGAAAGGTCTTTTTTGATAGGCTCAAACTTGAAGATCATGTCTTTCAGAAGCCACTCGCTTCTTTCTACTGCCACTCCCACACAGTCATCTGCCCTGGGAATCCAGCATAATTGGGAAATTCAGAATGCAGGAAACCTATTTTTTATGGATGGCTCAATCTAGAATTTGAACAGTCAACATCCCTGCAATCTTATGCAGAGACAAAAGAGATATTCACAACTAGGAAAACACTGTACAAAATTTAGGAAATTATTAAATCTCATTTTTGTTTTTCTCTGAAGAACTGACTTTAAAACAACTTGAATAGTTTTTTTTTTGGTGTGTAGTAAATAATAGGTATTTATTTGAAATAAAAAAAAATACTTAAGTACCTGGACTATTGCATTTAATCATGTATTGTAATTGTGTTACTCTACCTTTTTGTATCAGAGACAGATATACAATGAACATTCAGATATCACAGATTGCACACTAGATAGGAATTCTTCAGGCCTTTTACATATCCACCAAAAAACAGATATTGGATTCTGCAATATAGTACAAAAGTCCACAATCAATCCAGTCTTAGCCAGTATCTTCAATTTACTTCTGTTGCTGTACAAATAATCGGCCATTACTAGGGCTTACAAGTTAATAACAGGACAAAAAATATACATTGCACTGACACAAAAAGTCAGCTGTGTTAATAGTCATGCAACAAGTAACCAAACTTGCTGAAATTAAAAATACTTTCTAAAAACAGTTTTAACAGCATAAATATTTTATACACAGTTCATTTACCAAAACAAAATGTATTTAAATGATACAAAGCAAAAATAAGTTTCTACCAACTTTATACATAAGAAAGTGCAAAATAACTTATCTAGAGTGTTTTGCTATTATCCAGACGGATGGCTGCTATGGGCAGCTATTCTCTTCTTCAAAAGCATGACATTACACTTGCACGCTACACACAAATGTTAGAGTACATGGACAAATAAGTGGGTGGATGGGAAGGATGGATGAACAAATAAAACTACGAAGATCAGGCAGGAGCCCTGTGAGGTACTCGCAGAGAAAGAATGCAGACCACACAAAGGTGGATGTACACACTGAGAATATGTGTTGGTAAACAAATTTACATAGAACACAGAAGATACCCAGAGAAACAATTAGTTTATGTGCGTGAGTGTACTTGTATGTGTGAGTGATTCTATGATTTCTGCCTCGGAAGCAAAAGGAAAATAAACTAGATTGAACAAAACAGTTGCCCACAGCACCAGCTGCCAGAGGAAATACTATCATGAGGGTTTTGGTTTCCACCTTCTATTATGGAAGTTGTGTTGGAAAGTTTCAAAGTGTTCATCCCATATAACTTTGGACTACATACAGGAATAACCTTTAAGTGACTACACACACACATTCCTATATTCAAGTCTTTAAGGAACACCTCTGCCATTGGATATGGGGTAAACATGGTCGTGGACAAAAGGAGGGTGCTTCTTTTTTAAAAAAAGTGTAGAATAACACTGCTACAATGCATCCAGAGGGCAGGCAGGCAGCCCGGTACTGTGTGACAGCACAGTTTCTGCAACTGGTGAACATCAGCATTGTTTGCTAGAATGGGAATAAGATGGAGATGGGGAGGGGCGAGGAGTGAGACACAGAAAGGAAAACAGAACACGACTTTTCTTCAAGTGAAATTATTAATGCCAATAATCCTTTTATTAACAAGTGTATCTGAACTTTTAGAAATGGAAGTGTTTTAATCAGATCTGATATGTAATCATAAGTAGACTGTAGGCTCAAACTTAGGTAAATAAAGACTTAAATTTAGTAGCATAAGGCACTAAAGCAGCCTTTCTATTTCTCTTGGAGACCTAGTTATCAGGAAGAACAAATCTGTTCTTAAGCTGGTTTCAGCCCATTAGGTACAAGATCACTGTTGTACCAAATGCCTAGTTTTGAATGCATGTACATATATGTGCATTTTAGTGCATTAAGTGTGCCTGTTACCAGGGCCTAAAGATGAAAAGTTGGGATAGCCAAAGCCACTGTCCTTTGTATGATGCCTCCATGAGGGTGTGAAGGCCTGTCCTTCCTTTTTGGGGCCATTAATGATTCTACATTTTTCAAATCACAGGGCTTTTAGAACTGTTCATAATATTATTACTAAGTATCTGAAAATGTTAAAATCTAGAGTAATTGTTTCATTTGATTTTATATATATATTTATATTTATGTACATAACACACATTTAAAAAAATCCCACCACCAAAGCCTTTCTTTTCTGTAAACTAAACTTATCTCTTAGCCCCAGCCAGCTTTAACCCCCCTGGATTTGTGTGTTCTGTATCCAACTAGTAGAACAAATTAAATAACTAAATATTAAAATACTGTAATTATATTCATAGCAAAAACAAAAAAATAGACATTGATACAGTATAAATCTCACCATTTTCAGGTAGATGGCATTAAATGTTAAAGGTTAATTTTAAGCAGTTCTGACATGATCCAGTTTTACACAGGTTTAAATTTTAATTCTGTACACTTTTTTTAACCTTTTTTTTTTTTTTTTTTGAAAATATGTTATAGTAGAACATTAGTATCACCAAAGACACATACTTATTATGTTCTATGCAAGAAAGCTAATTTGGGGTCACATGCAAATATATTCCATTAATTGAGGCAGGGCTGCTTTCTGCACTACATCAGTCACCTGACCACCTTTATGCAACACTAAGAATATATGCCTTGACCAAACAGCAGTCCACACACAAGTTTAAGGGGCCTTGTTACATAAGAGCAACACTGAGGTGGTGCATAGCCAGGTACAAGACGCCCTAATATTTCCAGGTTATCTCACGGCTGGACTTCTATTCTCCCACACTGTTTCCTAAAGAAGGTCCACATTATTTTGGTTATTAGCCTAGTTTAAGTGGAGATACTGTGGGCAACTTGAAAGAAATGACATCAGGCACACAGGCTGGGTTTGAAAAGAAAAGAAAAAAACCACAGATAATGTCTTTGAGGATTTTAAAAAAACATTTATAATCAGTTGGTAAGTGAGAGATGTTAGACAAACCATAAGTAGTTCTTTGCGTTAGTGGTTTAGTTTGAAGTCTCCTGTTACAGGCAGTTAGGTCCTTATTTAGAAAAAAAGGCCTTTATACCTATTTACAATATACACAGTTACTTGCAAAGGAGTCAGATTTACAACCATTTTCTAAAAGCCTTTTTTGTTTTTGTTGGTTTTTCCAAATAAGGATGGATAGCTCTATAAAAATGAGATGCAGGAAAAGACAGTTATTAAGTGAGGATTTTTCTCTTGGAGACAGCTACTGTTATCAGGGAGAACTGGATATTGAAAATGTCGTTCCTAGGAACCACCTTGTATTCTTCTTGCGCTGTCCACCTGAATAGTGTCTGCCCCGGTACTGTACTCTACACCCGTTTATTCAATGATCCCTTTGAATTCAACACTTCAACCATGTGGTATGAAGAGATGTGTAAACGGAGACTGTTTCTGATGCCTTCCGAGTTGTGACAGGGGAATCTGAGAGGGGTCTGTGGTCTCTAATCAGCTTGTTCAATCTTCAACAATTTCGAGGCCCATCTTCTGAACCCCTCTCATGCTGTAAGTTATAATAACAGTTTTGACAAACACGCACCGGGGATGAGATTTTCAAGCGTTTGATTTCTGACTGAAATCGACTGCACCTAAAAGGAAAGAAAAAAAAATAAGTTAGTTATAGGTTCTGTGTGATCACTGGGCCAGGGACAGTGATTTAAAAACTGAATGAAAGGCTTGTAGGTTGAGGCCAACGTGCATTGCAATGTCAGGAGAATGCCCAAAGCCATAATATTGTCTGATCCTGTGGCTGACCAGGAACCAGAAGAGATGTTGCATTATTTGTTTCAGCCTATGAAAAAATATATTATACCAGGAAAGGCATTTCTTTGATTTTAGAGAATTAGAAAAGAGAAAACAAAAAAAACAGAATTAAGATTTTCCAAATTAATGAAACCCAGGGATCTAAAGAGCTCAGTGTGGGGCTGTCTGCTTGGTTCTCCAGGCCTGTGCTCTTGGACGGTATGTTGATATCTTTACACAGAAGGGAAGTTTTTCCCCTTGGAAATTAGAAGACTAATTGTCCATTTTATTTAGATCTGTTTTTAGTAATGCATATCAATTGTACATATTAATGACAGTCACTGTGGTATTTCCATACGTGCATACACTGAGTGTTGATTATATCCATCTACCATGCCTTCACTTGCCCCCAACCTCCCACTCCTGGCCACCCTTCCTATTCCCAGTTCCTAGTAGTCACTCTTTCAGGTCAGCTTTTTAAATTTTTTTTTTTTTTTTGCTTGCTTTAGTTTTCATGTGAGAAAGAACATGATACTTGCCTTTCTGTGTTGAGTTTTTTTTCACTTAACATGATAATCTCCAGTTCTATCCATTTTGCTACAAATGACACAATTTCATTTTTCTTTATCGCTGAATTGTGCATATATATGTTTTCTGTATTCATTCTGTATTCATCTGTAGACAGGCACTTAAGCTGATTCCATATCTTAGCTTTTATGAATAGTGCCTCTATAAATAGGGGTATCCAAATCTCTTTTGTATGCTCACTTCATGTCCTTTGGATGTCTACACAGGAATAGGACAGCTCGATCACATGGTGGCCCTATTTTTAGTTTTTTGAGGAACCTCCACACTGTTTTCCAGGCTATAATAATTTACATTCCCACCAACAATGTACAAAAGTTCTTTATTTCTTCATTCTCCCAGTATTTTTTTTATAGCAGCCACTCTAACTGGGGTGAAATGTATCTCATTCTAGTTTTAATTTGCATTTCCCTGATGGCTAATGAGCACTTTTTTAACCTTTATTTATTTATTTATTTATGTGGTGCTGGGGATCGAACTCAGTGCCTCACGTATGCTAGGCAAGTTGTGGCACCACTGAGCCACAATCCCAGCCCTAATAAGCATTTTTTCATATATTTGTTGGCTGTTGCTTGCTTTCAGGATTTCTTTCTTGGCAAATTTATTATTGGTGTATAAGAAAGCTACTGATTTTTGTATGTTAATTTTGTATTTTGCAACTTCATTAAATATCAGTTCTAACACCTGCAAAAGATAATAATTTGATTTTCTCCTTTCCTATTTATGTGACTTTTCTTTCTTTTGTTTAGTGTCTCTGGCTAAAATTTCTAGTAAAACATTGAATGAGTGTGAGAATAAATACCTTGTCTTTTTCCTGATCTTATAGGAAATACATTCAGTTTTTCCCTATTTGGCATGATGATGGTGGAGTTTCTCATATACAGAGACTTTACTGAATTATATTTCTATACCTGATTTGTTCAGGGCTTTTATCATGAAGGGCTATTCAATTTTATCAAATGTTTTTCTACATCTATTAAGATGATTATATGATTTTATTCTTTTTTCTATTTTTGTGATATATTATAGTTATTGATTTCTGCATGTTAAACTATCCTTGAAACCCTGAAATAAAACCAACTTGATTGTGGGATATGAATTTTCAAAAACGTGCTGTTGAATTTGCTTTGCTAGTATTTTTCTGAGTATTTCTATCTACATCTATGTTCATCAGGGATATTGGTTTATAGTTTTCTTTTTTGTTGTTATACCTTGCCAGATTTTGGTAATAGGGAAACACTGCTCATGTCTGTTGGGGTTCTGTGACTCCTGTACATGGATGTCCAACTCTTTTCCAACATTAGGGAAGTTTTCTATTAGTATTTCAATTGAGTAGGCTTTTTAAAATCTCTTATTTCCTCCCCTTCAGATGTACCACTGATGCTGATGTTCGACCATTTAGTGGTATCCCAAAGATCTCTTTTCATTGTCATTTTTTTCCTGTCTGAATATGACCTGTCTTCAACTTACAATATTCCTTCTTCCGCTTGATCTGTTGTTGAGACTTTCAACTGAATGTTTTTACTCATTGAGCTCATTTCCAAGATGTTTGGTTCTTTAAAACCTCTTTTTGCTGTATTTCTCATTCATCCTTGCACTGTTACTTTCTGAGTTCATCTGTTTATCTGTATTCTCCTGGATCTCATAGAGCTTTTAAAAATAATTCTTTTGAATTCATCATCAGACACTGCATCCATTTTGATATCTTTGGAATCTGTTGCTAGAGTGTTATGATCTTTTGGAGGTCTCATATCACCTTATTTCTTCATATTCCTTATATTCCTATGTTGAGATCTGCACAGTTGAGATCTACTACTTTTATGGTACAGTCTTCTTAGTAAATGGCTTTCTCCTGAATATAAGTCTTGGGGTAATTGGTTTGGTAGGCAATGTTGAGTTTATTTCTAGCTTCACTCTACAGTATAATAGCCCTATAGCTTCTATAGCTGTAATTAGTGAGTTGGGGCACAGTGTGTACCATATCAGAGTAAGAGAGTATGATCTTCTGTCTCTGCAGGTCATACAAAGATAGGGATACTCCATCAGTTCAAGTATGGGTGGTGTAGACAGTAGTGTGTAGGATGCATTCCTACACGAAGACCATGGGCAGGCTGTGCCCTCCTGGACAGCTTCTTGCTTTGGCTGCTTCACCACAACCAGTCCCTGTTTGGTCAATGATCCCGAGACAGTTCCATCTAACATTTAGTAGGAATGAATAATTTAAAGAGTTACCTATTTTTAGACAATATTATGAAATTAAACACTACAAAGAACAGATGTATACCAGCATACATATGAGGGTGTTATCAGCAATTCCTAGGTTACTAGGTTTGTAGAGTAGGCCTATCACAGCACAGAGCCACACAACAGGATCCTCTGCCAATCTCAGATAGTTTCTATCAGGAATGCTGGAGCAACATTTTGGAGACATTATCTCAAAACAGACTGCATAAGAGAGAAGGTTTAAGGAAAAAAATAAAAAATTATGATACATTTTATGGAATATCTATAGTGCTAGACTTGTACCTGGTGCTTTCCAACACTTAAACATGCATGAGCTCATTCAATTCTCTCAGCACCTCTATGAGGGGAGGGTCACTGTGGAAATATTTTACAGATGAAGAAACAAGCTCAGAGAGGTTCAGCAACTTGCCTGAGGTCAGGGCAGCCCAGTGAGCATTTGATCAAAGTCAACTGAAAGGCCATGCCCTTACCAATGAGCCAGTGCTCCCTATACAACCTCCACAACTGCTTCAAAAAAGATTCTTTAATATGGGATAATGTGTTTTCGGTGAAAAAGTCGCTGGAGTAAGGCAGTGTAAACATGAAAGTACACTGTTACCTGGCAGGGAACATGAGGGACACCAGTGTACAACAGAGAAAATGTCCAGATCCAAGGCTGCAGCACAGCCAACTCTTCTTATGGGGCAAAAAACCAAAACAAAACAAAACAAAACTCCCTGACTCATGTCACACCCCAAATGAGTTAAAAACCTAAATACGAAAATTGTAAAAGCTTTAAATCTTTTTCTTTTGTTTGTTTTTGCAGTACTGGAAAGTGAACCCCAGTTACATCCCCAACCCTTTTTATTCTTTATTTTGAGACAGAATCTCTCTTAAGTTATTGAGGCTGGCCTCAAACTTGCCACCCTCCTCTCAGCCTCACTGGGGTTATAGCCACCAGCATGCCTGTCAACTTCAAACCCATTAAAAGAAAATAAAGTTATCTTTATGATCTCAGGACACAGAAATATGAAGATATAAAAATTTAAAAAATCATACAGAATAATAAATACAATCACATCAAAATTAAAACCTTGTATAACAAAAAAAATCATACATGGAGTTAAAATACAAGACATAGATGGCAGAAGATATGTTCATGATATATAAAAGGAGTGGAGCCCAAAGTATAGAAAAAACATTCCTCAAGGAAAAAAAAAAAAAAAAAAAACCAGAAGAGACAACTGAACCTGAAAGGAAATCAGGCAGTTAGCCAAGAGGAACACCAAATGTCAACAGACAGAATGTCCATCCTCGCCAGCATTACAAAGCCTACTTCCTTACCTATCAGATTGGCAAAAGGAGAAAGGTTTGGCAATAGTGAGCATGACTAAGAATTTGGAAAACTTTCACATTGTGTTAGAAGCAGTATAAACTAGCACTACTGTTTTGGAGAATAATTTGCCAAGAGCAAGTTAAGCCCAAGACAAAGTCTGGGTTCTGCCAACTCCATTCCTTCTCTAGAGGAGATGCAGCCTGTGCATTAGAAGGACACTTTACAAGAACACATTCTGTGGCATTATTTGTAGTATGTGCAAAATGGAAAAAAACCCCAAACCCTTCAGAGGCCATCAAAAGGGAAGTAAGTTTTCATACAATCATAAAAATGAAATATCTGGCAGCAAAGTGAATACCTCAGTATAATAGTTGTATGTGCAAATGAATTTTTAAAAAATTAAGTAAAAAAGTTACACAAGGCTACAGACAACATGCAATAGAAGGCTGAGAAAAGAATTTTATGTAACAAAGTTTATAGAAGTAACAATTGCTCATGAAAGTAAAAACATGGGGAGCAGAAGGGGTATGAATGGGAAGGGGAAGAGAAGACCTGAAGTCTACTTACACCATTTCTATGCACCTGCATTGCAAACACCTAAGCAAACATGAAATGTTAGCATATCTGCATTCTAAGTCACAGGTGACCAGGCGTTTTAATGACTATTTCTGTACTTTTTATGATAGGAATATTTCATAATTATAGTAATAGAAAAGAACACTGTTTATACTAGCAGAGTATAATGCAGTAGGCACACCAGAACAATTGGAACTTGTACCCAGGGCATAACAAATGGACTTAGAGTGTAATCCATAGCATTCAAAAAGCACATGTCTCATCTTACTTCTGGCAGAAGAGCTGTCCACAGTTCCTGCAATGGTGTCGTCTTTCTGTGAGAGAAAACCGCACAGAGCAGTTGGAGCAGCTGTCACTGCCTTCGTCCTTCACCCAATGGTCAGCAGCAGAGCGGCCTGGCTGGTCACTCACAGACCAGCTGAAGACTCGGCCTCGACTATCACCAACGAGGATCCTGCTGTGGTCCCTGTAGGAGACACAAGAAGGCCTCTGGTTCAGTGTTGGGGTGTATTTTGGGGTGGGAGCGGTGAGGGTCATGAGGGACCCCCTGAATTCCCTCATGGGAAACATGTTGGAAGAGACAGAAATAGTACTGAGCACGAATTTACTTTTCCATTACTTTCTTTGAACTGAACCTTGCTGTATTTTTGAAGAACACAGAGGGTGATGTTTTATAAAACTCAAATTTAATCCACACACGGGCAAGTTTCCTTTACAGAGGATGAGTATGAAATCTGTTTTCCTCAAGGCTGAAACATGTGTACCCTGGCTATGCAAGAAACTTGGAGGAAGTAGGGTAGAAGACGGACACTTACTTGGAGATGCCAAGTGCGGTGACTTCAGCTGGGTGTGTGTTGTCCCTTCGAATGAAGGCTGTGTGCATAGTGAACTTATGCCTGAATACCAGCTGCCGTTCCCACCGGTACCCTGGAGTGGGGAGAAGTGAAGAACACGACACACCAAACTGAGAAGTGATACACTTATACCTGGTGGCCTTAAGAGGTAGGGTGCCTCAATATAAGCTCAAGTAGCCTTTCCAGTTCCAGCCATGGCCTCCCTGAATGCAGGGAAAGCAATCTAGTTGTCGGTGACCTGTGGGTCAGGTCAGAAAGTATCTCATTCCAAACAAGAAACTGAAGAGAAGGAGAAACATTCAATGCAAGATTTTGAAAACTTTGCCTCTAGGTAAAGCTGCCTGCTAATGTAGCTTTATCTCTTTTTTAAAAAGATATTTTTTTAAGTCATACATGGACACATATCTTTATTTCGTTCATTTATTTTTATGTGGAACCCAGTGCCTCACATTGCAAGGCAAGCACTGCGCCACTGAGCCACAACCCCAACCCCAGCTTTATCTATTTATTTATAACTAATACTTGCTTATCTTCACAAGCTTTCAAAATTTCTGAATGAATGAAGTTTTTGGCATTTAAAAAATGCCCAGCAGGTCAGAGTCTCTGAATCCATTTCACACATGAAGAACTATAAGAATCCTTTTTCTGTGGGTAGCCCAGGTCACAGAGCACCTCAGAGATGAAGCCCAGGGAGACGTTACTTGGTCAACTAACCCTCACACAGTAAGCAAGAAATAGATATCAAACTTCAAGTTACCAGGTTTCAATCTGTTGTAATTTCGTGCTTCCATAGGATTGGGATGTGGGTGGCTAATGGGGCCCTGTACATGGGTTCTGGTCTGGCCCTCCGAATAGTTGACAAAGATGAAGCCATCTTTCTCATCTAGACTGAGCTGGTCGGACCAGCGCCTGGAGTCATCAGAGCCACTATCAGTGCACCAGGTGGCTGTTGCTCTGCAGGAGGCTGCCCGAGGTCTGTGGCTGGTGCTGCTTGGCTGGCTAGGAGTGTCCTTAGGTTCCTGGCTGATGCTCTGCTCATCTGCTTCTGAATCACTGCTGTCCTCATCTTGAGCTTCCTGCCCTGGGTAAAGCATTGGGAGAATTAGAAAATGCAGACACATCACAATCAGACCCAGCTTTGTTCCACTGATCTTTTTTCCTATCATATACAAGACTCAGAGACATAATATTTTAAGCTAAGTATAACCAAAGGGAAAAAAAACCCACCCAGATTTAGCAAGATTTCGGACAGCAACAATGGACAGAATTTCTGAAAAGTTTCAGAGTTCTCTGGCCTTAGTTTGGCATTTAGTCATTCACAGTCTGACCAAAACCTCACACTCCCCACCCCAGTCCAGAGAGATGTGCCATTCAGGTGTTTTTCACACAGCTCTACCCCTCCTCATGGCTGGGTTTGCCCGCACCATCGGCCTGATGGAGACCTGTCTTCTCAGCATCTGTGTGTTTGGCCATCGCCTGTCTTGCAAGCCAAAGCTTCACACTTCTTTCTCTAAAATTTAACCCAATTCCTTCCCCTGAAGGTACTCCCTCCCTCTTCTGGACTCCTTTACCAGTCCTATTCCTCTCAGGTACTTGAAATCCTCCCTCTTCACCATTACACCTGGACATTCTTTCTACCAGACAGCAGAAAGGGCCAACCCCAGTGTCTTGCCTAAAGCGGTCAATAAGTAAACGACCACACTGATGAAGGAGTTACTGAGGAAAGCTTCAATTTAGGATTTTTTCTCTTTCCATTGCCATTTTGCAATCAATTCTCCACTCTTTGTAATAGTCTCCTAAAAGAGAAATCTATGCGAGACTATGTATTTACATATAGTTAGAATAAAAGAGAGCACACAAATGTGGGTGTGTAGTGCCATCTCACTGCATACCGATTTTTTTTTTTTTTTTAAACAGGACAAATGTATTGTGTGCTTCTTTTTAACTCTCAGGAGTCAAGGACTAATTTGAATGGAGCTGTTACCCCAATGGCTAATTCTCATGAGCCCTAAGGTATAATCAATCATTAGCACAAGCCCTAAGTCACCTTGGAAATGGCTTTGATTCTCAGTGAATCCCTTGCTTCCTTTTCACCCAATCAAGTCTCTTCAAATCCCATCACTGCCACACTGACCAGAGCCAATCCTCCCCAGGGGCAGCTCTCCCCTTTCTACCACTTGTGCTTAACTCTGTCCACAGTATGAATACATGAGAAGGAAGACGACATATAAACCTCTCTACCCTGAATTTGATCCCTTTTTCCATCTCACTTATTCATCCCATCTTTCATTGTCAACATACTTAATGAGCTTTGTTAAAGGAAGGAAAAGCGACCACTTCTCACTGGAACCCTTAACTCATTATCCCACACATTATAGGTAACCCCCAAATAATTGTTGAATTGAGCTTAATTTTTATGTTCTTTTTAAAACATTCAGATAACCTTTCTGGTTAAAAGTGCAACTGTCTATGTAGAAATTTACATGTATGAACATAAGACAAGTGTATAATACAGTGTGAAAATGTCCCACTCCCAGGATCCTTTTTTTTCTGGCACAGAAAATAAAGACTATTTTCAGTTTTCAAAGAGAAGTTATTCCTATCTTTCTGATAGCAAGTCTTTGTTCTTAGAAACTCCCTCATGTGATCAAAGTGACACTGAATTCTCAGTGTACAAAAATTAATCACAGACAATAGGAAGGTCAAACTTAAAACCACAGTCCTTTCCAGTCAGTCCCTTGTCCCAACTGTTCTACATTAGAGGGGCAGCTTCTCTGGATATTACTAATGCAAAGCACAACTTGCCTGGTTTTATGGCATTACTCTAGTCACTCTGTTTAGAAATCACCTAGTTCTTTATTTCACAGGAAAATGTTAAAGTGTTTCACAAATAATACACAGTAGATCACAGGTTGCTAGGCATCAGCCTGAATTAATGCCCCATGTAAGCAGGTGTTGGATGAGGACACTGAAGGTGGACTCTGACCTGGCTCTGTGGATAGTTTACAAACATGATGCCACTCTGTTGTCCAGACTGAACAGCCAGGTGCGGGCAGAACAGGCATGGAAGAGAGGTGTTAGGTCATCCTACTATCTAACACTGTGCCTCCATATCTGCTTTGTATTTTCAGAACTAAAGGCCCACAGCTTTGGTCCTCTAGTGTTGAGAGCCACAGCCGAAGGGGCCCCAGCAAACTTCCAGCTGCCAGCAATCCAGCTGCCGGCTGATGATTGGCTCACAGCGGCCCCAGCAACATCTAGCTGATTGGCTCCTCGGCCCCAGCAACATCTAGCTGATTGGCTCCTCTGCGGTGATGCTCATTGGACTGTTTCCTTGCCCTTTCAGACCACGGAGCTGCTCATTGGGGGACTTTTTGGCTCTGCCCACGTGACCCAGCCAATCGGCCTCAAGAGCAGGAGGATTGTGGGAGGTGGAAAGAAGCTTGAGGGGGGGGAGAGAGAGGCTTGTAAAAAGCCGGTGGTGGCAGTTGAGGCTCTGAGGATTTTTCCCGAGAGGCTGGTTTGTTTGGTGTGTGGTTCTAAAAATAAAGTTAGTTTCTTTTGACAAGTGGCTTCTGATTGTGCCCAGCCAGACTGCGGCACTCTAGGAAGTTTGTTCTAAATTTAGTTTGAAATGTGGAAATCAACAAGACACTGCTACACTGAGTGTGTGCAGCAAACTGGAGAAACCCTGGCACACCTGCCCAAAGTAATTATACAACAGGCAGCGACTATGCTCTTGTGAGCCACGGCCAACCTTGGGCCCTTGATTATGTTGTGTGGTATAAAGTTACTCCTAGTGACCTTAAAAAATATATAATAATAATAATAAAAAGAAAAATATAGAAGGTGACCAAATGTTTTTTATAATGTATGAAATACCTATTTGTGCTTCTGGACAGTCTTCCTGCATTTCTAGGACTTCCTCAGGTTCAGGAGCTGGTGTTTCAGGAACTTGCAGAAATTCCATTCTCCAAAACTACATTTAAGTACGAAAGTAAAAAAAGAAAAAAGTGGATAATCAAATCAAGGAAATGATGTACATGTTAGTGGATGAGGACAAGCTCTCAAGGTTAAACACGTAACTTTCTTTCTAGGATTGCACCAATGCAGAGTTCCTTGTGTCTTGTCAAATGTGGCAGGAACTGTCTTGCATAATGACTATTTCAGAGTGGATAAAGATGAATGTGGAAAAGTAAGTTCAAAAACATGGTTCAACGAAGTGAGTAAACTTCCGTTTCCTACAAAAATCTCAAGAGTCTTGCATATACAAATATCTACTGCAGATCTCCAAGAAGGCACATAGCCAGCAGGATCCCCAAATGTATCTGGCTGTGGAGCTTTTCAGTCGCTAATCCAGTGACCTGGAATACCACTCAAGAAGGCAGACTCTGGGAGGCACAGGGTGTGGCAGGGGAGTGGGCTGGCAGCCTCACTGTCTCTAATCATGCACCGTGACTAAGAAGGGCAGTAATCAACTGCTCTTTGCTTTGACAAAGAAAAAAAAAAAAAACAAAAAAAAAACAGGCACAAAGAAAAATCTGAGCGAGAAAAATGTAAATATTTGCATAGACTACAAAGGTAAATACTCTGTTGAATCTCTTTTCTGAAGAGGCCAGACTCAGAAAACTAAGAAAAAGATACACCGCTTCTAGGTTTCAGGAGCAATCATGTGGGATCTGGCCCAGAAAAAAGCCTGAGGTCACTGGACACATTGTCTAGCTCTGTGCTACTCTGTACAGAAGACACTGTTCCCACTAATTACATTTTTCCTACAAAATTATTTGACAGGTTAAAAACCCAATACTTACACAGTTCACACTGTGAGCAGTCCCATGTGGCAGGGGGATCATGGTTAAGTGATCTCTGGTGTTAAGCTGTTGGCCGTCAGTAGCACTAACAGCTCTACTAAGTAGGAAGAAAAGGGGCCCAATCTCTGATGTTCACCATAACTGAGGAGCATGGGCCAGAGCCCATGTGGATAGCAGGGAGACTCTGCTAAACATCACAACCTGAACAGGTGTCCTTACACTTTAAACAGCTTCCTAAGTTTCAGGCAACTAGGACAGCAAATACTTCTTTGTGCCCACTTACCCTAACCTCTCCATTTGAGTGTCCTGTTACTATGACATTCTGTGTGTCCCATTCGTTCATCTCTGACACGCAGCAGCAGACGATCTGCTGGCTCCAACCTGTGAACGTGTTTACACTCATGATAGGGTTCCCGTTAATGCTCCACACATGGATGTATGTGCCAGCGCAGGACACAATGTCCCCCTGCAAGATAAATGAAGACTGTTCATTCTCTTCATATTATATATTAGTTTCAGAAAAATAATTGCATCTTTGGCCTGCTCTCAAAACACCTCATCCCCTAGATTAATGGCTGAATTATTTCTAAGGTAACTTAGAATTCAGTGCTTAATGAGTTAAAAACAAATATCCTGATCTTCTTTAAAAATTCAAGAGGCTTCTTTAAAAATTCAAAGCTGAGTGGATGCTATGTCAGGGGGTCACAAATGGAGATGAGAGGCAAGTCTGTGCCCAGCACACTGCTGAGCAAGCTCTCATTCTACCACAAAGTACTATGTCATCAGAGGAGGTGACGAAATGTTCTTCTTCCTCCTGTTGTTTACAAACTCTATTTATACTTTTCATTTAGAGGAATTCACCCGCACAGACTTTTATGTAATTGAGTCCAATCACCAACACTATAGGGTAGAAGAAAAAATATTGAGTCCAGGTATATTGTGTCTCTCCAACAAATGACATGGTAATATCTTGGTAACATCATAATACCTTATTTTAAAATTCGCATTCACAAGAAGGGTGGGAGAATGAGGGTGAAAAAAGAAACCTGGCATGTAAGTCACTTCTAATAAAATCTAAGATTCCCTGAGCTGATAACTCATGAAAACATGAATTCCAAAGGCCAGAAGGAAAGGCCTTTTCCTCAAGTCTGACCCTCACAGTGACCCTGTGAGGTCAGCTAGCACCAGATAGACTTCAGAGGGTGACAGTGAGGGGCACAGCAGCAGTTCTCTGTAGTCCCAACGTTCACAAACCATCCTGTACTGCCACTCTAATCCTAAGGTGGCCTGGTTGTCCCACTGCTGGCTGTTACTTTAGAAATGACCTAGTGATTGCAGGGCAGTCGGGAAATTCACAATAATCTATTAGATATTAGAAGATGGTCATCAAAAGCAGAGGGAGCACCAGAAGCTAAGTAGCAGCACCAACACAAGGATGAAGGCAAAGGGACACTGGGGTGGGATGACAAGGCTGCACTCTCTGCTCATCTACTGTTCCTAGCCTCTCTCTACAGCCCCTCTACCTCCATAGCAAGAAGCTAAACAAACCCGAACACAAATAATACTCTCTGTTGCTCTGTCTACCTCTGTATCAGGCACTGAGCTGTCTCTGAGTGTCAGCAGGTGAGATTTAATTAGTGTCCCTGGTCTCTGCAAGAAACCAGAGACAGCCACTTCATTCTGCACTAGGCAAGACCTCTTCAGTGACTCCAGGGGGACACAATTAAGAATGCATTAAAGCGAATACTGTGGTCATGAGGGCTGAGCCATAGAAGAAGAAATAAAGAGCAGCTGCCAAGGGAACTTGGGCCCAAAATGTAAACACAAGTTAAGCACATTGGGTATTGGTTGGAGAAACAGAAATAGAATTATTTTCATGTGTTAAGAAACTATAAAAAACATTTATGAAAAGAAAAGAAACCCCAAATCGCTTCTGCAGTATTTGCAGCAACTATTGCAATCCAGTGGGTGCATCATGGCTCAAATAACTGACTGTAAATAAAATTCTATTTAAGAACAACTTCAAAACAAAGAACTTCAATGAAATTAAGCATCTGACTCAGAGTAACACTGTTAGGTCAGAGTGGTTCTGTCGCTCCTATATTTTTCTACAGTTCTTTAGAAATAAAAGTTTTCAGGCCTAACCCAAGGCTGTGTTCTGAAATATCTTAAACCTATCAAATACACCAAAACCAAATTTGACTCTGTTACCCTTCCTTCCCCAACTTATTCACATTTCTGAGTCCTCCTACCATTAGTGAGACATTCCAGAAGCCTTTCACTAGAACTATTTTTTTTTTTTTTTTTGGTGTGACTACAAGATTTTTGATTGTAAGTATAAAACAGTATTGTCTGAAAGAAATCAAAGATGTGAAGGAAAAGGAAAGTTGTCTGTGTGGATGGTAACAGAAACATCCCTCAATAACATGGTGAGAACTACCATTTCCTAAAGGTGGCCACAGGGCAGGAATGAGGCAGGAATGGGAATGTTGTCAATGAAGAGGCTGGGGTGGGTTCCTGGGACAGGATATGTTATCCTATAGTAATGTACCCTTGGACTTATGGACCTCATTTTTTGTAAACCTACTCTTAAGCTTCCCCTGCCTGACAACCCCTTAGTGATGAAGAGGACTCCCTCTCTTGTTCAATTCAGTGGGACTTGCTCTATTTGGGGAACTTCTAGTCCAGTGGATTTATTTTTATTTTTATTTATAAAATATTTATTTTTGAGATAAAATTCCTTGATAATTTGAGAATGTTTTAAAAATAATAACAAATTCTCTCATTTGGGCACCCAAATACTACTCTTTTCACTTTTCAAAACAAATAATGTATTTTGTTAAAAATTTCAACAAAATTTGAACATTCTTTTTTTAAAAAATATATTTTTTATTTGTGGATGAACATTTATTTTTATGTGGTGCTGGGAATTGAACCCAGTGCCTCATATGTGCTTAGGTAAGTGCTCTACCATGGAGCCACAACCCCAGCCTGAACATTCTTAATAAATCCCACGAGTTACTTATTTTTTAAAAAGCATATCATATTTGTTTTATTTTAACCAAATCTTGTTCTCTTTTAAAGTACCTAGTAGTGAATGAATTTTAAGATGAAAGTACTCTTTGGGTCAAAAATTTTAATCTCCATCTGCTTTTCAAAAAACACAGAAATCAAGAGAAATGTAGTGACTTTTAGAATGAGTGTCTATCAGCTTAGGAAAAGTCATTTTTTACTGAGTATGGTTTCCCTGAATATAAAACAATTGTGCAATTTAATACTTACTGTTAATTCATTGATACAAAGAGTAGAAACCGGAGCTCGATGGCCTCGTAGCTGGGTTAGAAATGACAGTTTATTCAAATCCCAAATAATGCACGTCCGGTCGCGGGACCCACTGACAATTATGTGATAGGCTAGTGATGCTGTGGCGCAGGTGACAGTATCAGTGTGGCCAAGTAAGGCCTACAAAAGAAAACAGCAACATATCAGATCAATTATAGTAACAGATCCCATAGCGACTTCAGAAGCTCCCAGATTCATCAGATAGCTATGCTGAGGGCAGTGGGTGCCCTGAGTGGGGCCACTGGGCAGTGTGGGGCTGACCTTTCTCCTCATGTGGCCTATCGTGGGCTCATCCTGTATGGATGGGGGATGAGTTTTATTCTACTTTCCTAAACATAGGTCAGCATAGTTGAGAGCATGGGGATTGGCAGCTGCAACCCAGCTTGGATTTCTTCATGCTATTTCTATGTGGAAATACACTGATAATTGGCCCCCAAGCAGAACTGAAACTGTGTGTCCATTCTCTTATGCCACAAACACCTGTTTGTTTATTCTGAGGACCTGTAATTGATGAATTTTTTAAGGTGCACAAACTACATGCAGTTATTTTATGTTAGTCAAAAATTAAAAAATAAAAATATACAAATGATGAGAACCACAAGATTGCAGTATCTGGTTCTGAAAGACAAGGGAACAGTGTCATTCTGATGTGTCAATGTGCTGCAGTCCTGCTACTCCATGGGAAATATCTGAGGAGTTCTGTCTGAGAGGAACTTCTTCAAACTGGAATAAGAACTGTTCTCTTTTGCTAGAAAATGAAGAGAAACAGGACACACGGGAATGAATGGTAGTAATTGAAAATAAGTAAGGATTCTGAAGGGAAAGATCGAGATTACTGTTAAGGAGTCCCTGAGTATCAGAATAGGCCATCTTCCCTGGCAGAAGAATATGCCTGCTTAAATAATGAGTTGGTTTAAAATTTGGGGCATACAGACATCTGCATGGTGTGTTTAGCAAACCCCATTTGACTGGCATGTCATCTTCAGAATCTTTTTTCTAAATTAAAAATATTTAAGCAGGAGTTTGGATCAGCAGAATGTATGTCAATTTGGTGCTTGTTTGTTTCAGGAGTTTGCTTCTCTTGGTGTGATTTGCCACAGGACTCAGGAAGTCTATGAAGCCTCTGGTCTATTTAGATGGTTGTTGGTAAAAGTACCAGGGGTCCAATTCTTTCTACAGATATTTAAGATACTACTGTTCAAAAGCATATCTAAAATAGTTTTGGAGTCAGAACTGAATTTAAATTCTGGGTTTTTGCACAACTATAATTTTGAGCATGTCATTTGACCTCTTTCTTTCTCTCTCTTTTTTTTTTTCCAGGTGTAAAGTGTGGTTAATATCTTCCTTATGAAATTGTAAGGATTGAAGTTCTGTATTTTTAAGACATCCAGCATAGTGTCCTTAACATAGGAGGCATGCAATAAATGACAGTACTTACACTACTTTTCAATAATAATAAAAAAATACTTAAATGTATGCTTCTTATTTAAACAACATCTTCTGATAAATTCTCTCATAAATCAAATATTAAAAGATGGCTTGGGCTGGGGCTATAGCTCAGTGGCAGAGCACTTGCCTAGCATGCATAAGGCCCTGGGTTCAATACTCAGCACCACATAAAAATAAACAAATAAAATAAAGGCATTCTGTCCATCTACAACTACAATTTTTTTTTAAAAGATGGCTTACTTATAAACAGATTATTGCTTTAAATGAAAATTATGTGATCAGAAATACCTGTTAACTAAATCTTCAAGGATTCTACTAAATATTATGAGTTTGGCAGGTCCTTAAGGAAATGACAAAAGAAGAGAGAAACAACTACGACTTTGTGGTTCATCTAAATGTAAATCATCTTGAAATTAGTAAGGATCAACAGCAAATATAATTTGATTTTCAAAAAGTTAATAAACATATAATTTGTAAGAAATATTTATATTACTTAAATATATTAACATATATTACCTAAAAATGACTTACTTTAATTTTTAAAAAAGAATCAGCTTGATAATTTTTAGAAATAGTATGTTCTGATTTACTTTTTTTTTTTTTTTTAAGAATTAAAAAAGTGCAAAAGAGCACTTTTTGTTTTTTTATGTTATGCCTGATGTACCTAGGACGAAGGAAGCTTTGTTAGTTTCTCCAGAGCAGGCTGAGATGGAATGAGCTCATTCCATCTGCTCACCCTGTTACCTGCTTGAGCGTGAGAGTCTTCGCCTTTTCTTTTGAGGTGCCCATCTCCCACACACACACAACCGTGCTTGTTCCACCTGTAATGACGAGCTTGGGGTTGGGGCAAATTGCACAGAGAATCTGGCCCCACTCTGACAAACATTCATAAACAGTTACTGCCTGTAAAACAAAACAGATGTGAGACACACATGCCACCAAGTGCTCTAGACTTCTGCTGTGCAAGCAGCAGAGCTGAGTAAAGGGCAAGGCCCTCAGCTGAGGCACCTCACAGGCACACACCAACTCACGTTCTGGGTTGGTTTTAGTTTTGTGATGTTTCCATTGAAGCTCCACACTGAATTGTTCCCACAGTTTCCTAACTGTACTTGCTGCCAAGAACCATAATTAAAAAGGACTTCATTCATCATGGGGAACTCTGGTTTCTCCAGTGTGGGAAAATGATGTTCAATGTGTGTGGTGCTGCTATGTAAGAAGCAGGAGATGATCCGGTAAAAGGGTATATGCTGTAACCAGTGGAAGCATGTGCACAGAAAGCACAGTGCTTTGAAGGAGAACATTAACTAAGCAAAATCATGTTGGCAGTGGAATGGAACAGGCTGGGCAGAGTCTATCCATCTTATAGTTGGGAGGGGCTCAAGGGCAAACACAGGGTAGCTGAAGGATCACTACATATGGCCTCTCAAAGAGATGATTATGGAACTCACAGCAGCTGTTGCTGGTTCCTGTGGGGTGGGGTAACAAGTTTTCTGTCAGCCATTTTAGAACATTAAAATGATAAGTGGACGAGATGGTGACTTGCCAAGAGAAGGCTATTCTGGTTAGCAGAAATGGTGAGCACCTTGTTGGCTAGGATCTTTTAGAGGAATTCTGTGGGCAGGAAGGGAACAACCAGCCCCTATTACTCAACTTACAAAAGAGGCTTGTTCTGCAGGAAACATGACTTCTCCACTAGCTCCCTTATCTTTGTCTGATGCAATGACACTCTCCTTTCTTCTGGCCTTTGGAGGAACAGCTGACAATCCACTGGACTGTGCTCTCTCCACCCCCATTATCAAGATATCCATGCCATGAAAGAGCAAGATTAAATGAGAAAGCAAGAAACCACAAACCTTGTCTGATTCATAGGTTCCCAGTCTGCAGCTGAGGTCTGCATAGCCCCAAGCAAAAGTTTTGTTCCAGGTTGGTGGGATAAGAACCTTATTCTGTTCTACTGCAAGAATACCTTTATCTGTACATACTATTTGTCCCACAGGCTCTTTGAGTTCTATTAATAAAAACCAAAAAACAAAACAAAACAAAAAAATAAGAAATCATTACATTAGGACAAGACAGGGAAACTAACTTCATTATCTCACAGGTATGGTAAGGTAATCTCAAATATTCATACAAATCAAGCATCCTGATACCTAAGACCAAATGATATCAGTAGCAAAGCTTGGATTTTGAGGCTGCTCCCAGACATGTTGGGTGGGGTGTCACCCAGACAGGTATTCTGCAGAACTTCCCTCCAGTCCTGTGTTTCTGCTGCTACACAGAGTAATCTGAGGTACTTCTCAGAATGCAGAGGGACACAGCCCATCAATCAACCTATATCTTCAGCACCTTGCAAGCTACAGACTTAAAGGAAGGCTATAACATGCCCCAAGAGGCATGGTCTTCCTACTCCACATAAGAAATTGCCAAACAACTAAACCTCCAGAACAGACACTGGGCAGTGACAGGAGATAGCAAGAAGCAGATTCCCTGTGATGAGATAGAATGGCAGAGTGTGGCCTACCAAATCAGTTTGATGCTCCAACTCTTAAATTGATTAAAGTGACCAACTTCAAGACTTTACAAAACATTTTTTGTTTCATTCTAAGGGTAAAATTTCTACCTCAAAAACTTCTTTTAGATAAGTGTACCATTAGATAAAAGGTGGGATGTCTTTTGGTTGGCATATTGAAAATATGGTCTGCCTACTGCTGTTTTTTTTCTTTTTAACTTATTTATTTATTCTAATTTGTTATATATGACAGCACGGTGCATTTCAATTCATAGTATACATATAGAACACAATTTTTCATGTCTCTGGTTGTACATAAAGTAGAGTCACAACATTCGTGTCTTCATACATGTACCTGCAGTAATGATGTCCATCTATTTCATCGTCTTCCTACTGCTATTTGATATACTGAATATATGTAGGAAAAATAAAAAATGTAGACAAAGTTTTTTCTGCAAGTAAAATTGAAGTTACAAAATTTTGATATCTTAGAATTGACTAAATTAACAGAAGGGAGAAATATGTTTGGCTCTTTCTGATACAGAATCCAACTGGTGAAAAAAAGAAAACAGAAAAAAGAAGATACTAGAAAGCATTCAATAATTTTACACAAAAAGTATTCAGTACTTACTACAAAAGACACAATTGCTAAATAACAAGTTTGCTTTTGCTGAATTAAGATTATTAAACAATGCCATCAAATCATGAGTTAACAGTTTATTTCTCATCACCTTACCTTTTATGGGTGTTAGGGAAGGCCTCAAGTTGTCTAGGTGATGGAAAAAGATCTTGTCACTCGTGGATCCTGGTGGGACTGAGATTCCTGCACTGTCTCCATTGAGTCGACTCCTCACTCGTTTTGGTGGATGAGGTTTTTTAAATAACTGTACAAAAGATGACATACTTTATAATAAAAAATACACTTATTAAGACCTTTAATATGCTAGGCATTATGTTCTTATTTAACTTAAGTTTTACAATAAACATTAGATACTACATTATCCTATTTTACATTTGAGGAAAGAAATCCAAAGAGGCTAAGAGGATTTCCAGCAAACTCATAACTCATTAAGTAGGTAAAGGACTATGATGCTAAAGCTTGATTGCTATTGTGTTCTATGTTAAGCTGAATTAACTCTGTGAAAGAACATTAATCCACCAAACTGTAGTTGATTTATAACAGTTTTCCAATTATTTTTAAAAGGCAACTGATTCTTCATAGCCCAGTACCATTCTGGGCCATTTAAGGTGGATAGACACTTTAACTGGATTAGTTCTGGCTTCCACCATGGCTTTTCTTAATGTGATTTAGCAACATGATTTTGGTGCTGTTTAGATGCTACAAATTTGCTGAAAATATGAACATTATTCTCTTCCTTTCACTTTGCAATGAAGAAAGAAAAGAAAAATCTTTGGAATTTTTGTTCAGTATTTCTACAGCTAAAAATATTAATATACGCTTAAGATTATTTTTCAAATTTAATGTAAAATTATTTTTCAAATAATGTAGATCTTCAAACGGATACAGTAGTTTCTGCTGGAAAATTAATATTTGAGAAAGCTATCTAGAAAAACTTGGATGAGCTTAGACTAAACATAAAAACAATAGCACTATGCTTCAAGAAGATGTTTTGGGTTTCTGGGGGAAAAATGACAGGAAATACGCTTTGTACAGACAAAGATAGCACTGTAGGCTTCCAGAGCGTTAAGCATTTTGTTTATGTTAGCTATGTACAGGGGCACAGAGTCAGGGTTCTTTTATCTTCTACAGATTCTGAAATTGTAAAAAAGATGCAATTTAAAGCATGCTTACAAATAAATATTTACTGAACAACTTTTATGTGAGGCCCTAACATAGAGCCCATGTGACAGCTCATACATATATAGAGTCACCATAAAATTGAGATTTTCTTAGATTGTTTACTTGAAAGTATTCTCTATTAGTCAATGGCCTGTCCTAGATGTATGTTGGTATCCAAGTTATATCTCCCAGTCTGCTGGCCTCTTATATTCCAAAGTAGCACACAAATCCTGCAGTGGTGCCATGTGTCTTTATATACATGTTCAGAACATGCATTTCCCACAGGGTATGCAACAGGGATCCTGCCTTTTAACACTCAGGAAAAAGGACAGGTTCACTTAAATAAAGATTTAATTAAAACTCTCCAACTGTGAGTACTTTATTGAAGAACATTTTGCTTGAAAAGAAACATGGTTCCTTTGGTAGGGATCAGACTACATTGTAAATGGTACAGTAGTGTCCTGCTGTCTATCTGGCTTTCCCACATACAACTGGCCATTATTCTGTGTGTTCCCAAGTGTCCACCCTGGAGATCTTTAAGTTGCTAGCCTTATAAAAAGGGATTTCAGGAGAGATATGTGAAGCAGAAACAGGGAAGACGGCCAGGGCCAAAAGTGTACAGCCCCTCGCATCTGGCACAGGATGGGGACTTGCAAGCTCAGCAGAGTCCCTCCTCTCACTGTGCTGCAGATATTCCTGCTTCTGCCTGCCCCTCATACATAGTAGAAAGAGAAGGAGGGTGCTCATTACTGTGCACAACACAGAGATCTACAGTCCTGGAGTGCTAAGGGGCACAGCTCTTGGTCTTTCCAGGTTCCAGATAGTGGTGAGAGCCGCTGGTGCATGTCCTGGGCACTGCTGTGGCACAAGTCCTCATGGCACAGCACTCTCCTCACTGTTCACTAATGTAACCCAATCATCATCTGCTCCATGAATCTCTACAGCTGTGTCCCGAGTGCTCTTCTGTCCAAATTTAGCTCCTCTGCAAAGTGCATGCACTTGTGTGTGTGTATGTGTGTTACACACACTAGCAGGGGTACCAGGGGGAACTGACTAGGCCAGAATGAACTGTAAAAGATTAATTAAATATGACCATGTCATTCTCCTCCCTAAAATCAGCACAGCTTCCCACTGGCATCAGATGAAACCCTGTCTCTGTGCACACTGTGGTCTATCAGGTCATGAGCAAGAAAACATGCCCTGTTCCAGTCTGAGTGAAAATTCTCTTCAAACATCAAAAAGTTTATTTATCTCACATAAAAGTGAGGAGAAGCAAGTAATCTAGGATCATTAATCTAATGAACAATTTTTATGACTCATTATTAACTTAGACTAAACTTAATTATTATGTGGTAATCTACCAACTATACAAATATTACGGAATGACATTGAGTCACTGCTGATAAGAAAAGAACAACCATACCTGTTTAGGGATCTGACCAAAGTTATTAATGAAGCCGATGGTGGCCGTCTCCTTCAGTGGATCATTTATATTGTAGATATCCACTTGACCCTCATAAAAAAGGTGATGGAAGACATTCACAGCTTCTACCGCAGCAGGACCCTGCTGTTTGTAGCCAAAGATTAAATCAATCCACTCATGCAGATGGGCACTCACATAATCACACTCCAAAGCCTGTAATTCCAAAACACAAGCTAGGTAAGGGGCTGGCGTTTATTACTTGCTCACAAAGTCAAGAAACCTGGCTAGTGGTCAATAGGAATTAAAATAATTAAAAATCATTATGATAATATTAGTAACTTAAGTGAATGCAAAATACACAAATCAAGGTCCTTTCTATAGCGTGATCACAACCCACTCCAGAGTGCACCCTTATTACCTCACGGTGGACTCGAATGAATTCTCGTGGGTCCCCTTTGGCCCAAGGTGGAAGGATAACATCTCCAAGCTTGGTGCCATTTTGTTTACAGCCTGCACAATTGGATACATTAAAAAGAAAATGAAAGAATGGGACAAATGTTAACTTCATTTACAGTGACAGAGAAATAGTGTGAGATTCATTACTAGAACTATCAAGTTTCACCACAGAAAAGCCCCACAGGGATCATCCACTCTGGTGTCTCCCCAAGGTTGTTCCTTAGAGCATTTCCTTAAAAAGATTTGCTAAGTGCTAGTAAAACCAGGATTCTTGCTCTCAAATGTCTGCAGGAAATGCTGAGTTATACAAAATTGAACATATTCTATAAGGCCTGAAAGAGGCCTTGAAGGTAAATATGTTAATATACTTGTCCTGCTCTAAGAGGGACACCGGACACAAACTTTCTGAAATGCTATTGACTATAGGACTCCTCTTCAATGAGATCTTCCAAGAGGCTACTGTTTTGAGCCTCCTGAAGATAAATGCAGTACATGAGGTTTCTCATATTTTTGACACAAATTCTTGAGAAAGCTCTATAGAACTGAGATATACTTTGCAGTGATGGTTTTCTCTAAAGAAATGAAATTAGAATATAACTTTTTGTTGTTCTTGCATCACTTAAAAGAAAAAATATTTGGAAAGACCATAAACTGTTATTTTAAGTCACAGCCAGATAATCTCTAAAGTATTAAAGAAGTCATTTGCTATGAAATCTATTTGCATTAAAAATACACACACTCATGAACACACATTAAGTAGGATTGGTATTTAAGGAAACAGGTTCTCTTCCCCCTTCTTTTTTGGAAAAACACCAAAAAGTAATTTTAGCTTACAGTTTTCATAGGTTTAGATTATCATTGTAACAAACGACTGTAAATAGTAAAGACTTAACTCCCTGGCTTCCTAGCAGTTGATTAGATAGTAGTTCTATTATGAATTTCACACAGAAGTGAAGTCATTCAAATTTTAGAGCACAAAGTCAACTCCAAATGGAAACCAACATTTCCTTTAGAAACTTATTTTCATCACTGTTATTTGATTGTTGACATAAATCGGGTCATTATGCCGCATCCCTGCAAGCACACACACCTCACACATTCCTGCCAATCCCTCTCAAATGCTCTCTTTAGTCCAAGTTTTTTGATAATGAGAAACTGCTAATAATTCTCAGGCTTCTTGAGATATAACCTACTTTTCAAGATTTTGCTATACTCCCTAAATGTTTATGTTGGAGAATTTTATTAGCACTAGCTGCATTTTAAAAATGACATACACGGAAAACAAAACCTACAGAGAAACCCTCAGTCTATTCTGCAACTCCCCCACTGTGTACATCCAGGGATGTGAGAACAAGATGGGGTCAGGGAAAACTCCCAGGTGTGTGTGTGTGTGTGTGTGTGTGTGTGTTTAATAATATCACTATCTTTTTTGATAGAGAGCAATGGGTGTTTAGTTTTGTTTGTTTTTCTCTTTTGAGGGGAAATTCGTACATTCTTCTGTTCTTCTAAACTATAATAACCACCAATTTGTTATGTCTCTGGATTTACCTATGAATGGGTATTTCCTGTGAATGGACCTTCTGAGGCTGGCTTCTTTCACTCAGCATGTTTTTGAGGTTCATTCATTGCTAATTTTGGACATGGAATGTCCCTCTCAAAGTCCTGTGTTAAAGGTTTTGTCCTAGGCTGGTGCTACTCAGAGGTCTTTTGGTCACTGTGAGAGTGCCCTTGAAGAGGAGAGTGAGACCCCAGCCCCCTCCTCTGCCTCTCTTTTCTGCTTTCTGGCCATGAGGTGAGCAGCTTTGTTCCACCACATGTTTCTATGATGGTGTGTTGCCTTACTACAGGCCCCAAAGCAATGGGGCCAATCCACCATGGACTGAAACCTCTAAAATTATAAGCTAAAAAACCCCTTTTCTCTTTATCAGTTGATTATCTCAGGTATTTATTACAATAAATGAAAAGTTAACACATCCATGTTGTAGCATTTATCAGTACTTCATTCATTGATATGGCTGAATAATCTTTCATTATATGTATGTATCACACTTTGTTTATCTATTCACACCTTGACAGACATCTGGGCTATTTCTACTATTTGGCTATTTGGAGTTCTGCCACTATAAACATGCTTGTGCAGGCATTTGTTTGAGCTCCTGTTCTCAATTCTTATATACTCAGGAGTAGAATTGCTGGTCATATGGTAATTTTGTTTAACTTTTTGAGGAACTTTCAAACTCTTTCCCACGGTAGCTGACCATTTTATGATCTCACTAGCAATGTACAAGTGTTTTCATTTTCACATCTTTGCCAGCCCTGGCTATTTTCTGATTTTCCCAGATATTTGCCACCTTAGTGGATGTGGAGTGTTATCTCATCATGATTTTGTTTTGCATTGACTAATAACTAATGATGATGAGCATCTTTTCTGTGCTTACTGGCCATATATATGGAGAAATATCTAACTAAGTCTTTTACCCATTTTTCAACAAGGTTGTTTATTTTCAGGCTGCTGAATTTTAAGAGTTGTTTATATTATATAGATCCTAGACTCTTACCAGATATCTCATTTTCAAATGTTTTCCCCTACTCCACAGGCTGTCTTTTTACTTTCTGGACAAAATCTTTGGATGCCAAAGTTTTCAATGTTGATGGAGTCTAACTTATCTTTAGTTGCTGCTTTTTTTTTTTTTTTTTTTTGGATATCTAAGAATCCATTAACAAATTCAAGATCATGAAGATTTACCCTTATGGTTTCTTATGAGAGTTTTATGTTTTTAGCCTTTAAATTTAAACAGTGTTTTTGATTTTAAGAAGGAAAGATGATGTGTTATGAATGTGAATATGATAAAGATGAAAGTACATGACCTTCTTTTATTTACTTATTTTAAAAGTGGATTGTTTGGTTGGGTTTGTAAGTGGTCTGATTGAAACACTTTGCAACATAGATCATCATAACTGATTCAAAGATTATAGAAAATTCGAGGGATCTTTTTCTTTTTGCACCTCTCCGTATTTGTTTCTTTGAAAGTGGTATCTCTAGGGAATGCAGCATTCTTCAAGTGATGTTGTAAGTGAACATAAGAAAGCACTCAGGTGTACTCATTTTTAAGTACTCATGTGTACACATCTGTTTATTTTGCTTACTGACCATCTATTCCACTCCTGCCCAAGAGTGAGCTCCAGGCCCAATCAGAGTTAATGAGGACTTTTCCTAGGAATACTGAAAGTCTTACAATATTTCTTATTGAATCCCATTCCACACAGTTATACCTGCTAATGGACAGTTAATAAAAGTTAATTTTGAAAAATTTAAAAACAAAAATTATAAAATGTAAAAGATAGGAATATTTCCCTGTTAATGAAAATTTGGAGGTAAGATGGTAATGATTTATATGCTTAACTCTTAAAAACAATAAATGTAGGGTATATTAAAAAAAAGTACAAAATGTGGCAGAAATATTCTAAAGTACAAGCAATGGAATTCTGATATGTTTTAAAAGAAATACTCAAAAGCACAGATCATTCAAATTGTATTCTAAGAAACTGTAAACAAAGTCAAATTTATTTCTTCTAACTGCCAAGAATATAAGAGACACTACTGATGAAATTTCTCTCCTTTTTATAAATGGTGATTTTATACTGTTTTTCTACAAAATAGGATCTAACAGGATAAAGAAAAGGGATTCATTTAAAGTTTTTGAAATTTGATTTTGAAACACATTAAAACAAAAATACCTCAGGCCACACACACACACGATTAGAACAATACATAAAAATTTAGATTCTTGACTACTAATGGGTTTCAATGGTCATAATTTTCAAAACTTAACTTTACGACTGTTTTCACTAGAACAACAAAATTCTAAACGTCTGATGTAATCTGTTTCAATTTATAAATGTCTCTAGAACGCTAGGTTTGAAACAGCATTTTGGGGGAATAAACGTGCTTTTTAAAATATTTAATTACATTCATCCAATTATAGTAAATAATAGCAACTAACAGTATAAGGAAATCTTTTCTTGTTAATGCATGGGGCAGACAATCTTCAGAAGTGACTTGTTTCTACTATTCTTTGCCTGGCTAACATTCCTAACACAGCTCTACGTACCTAGATCAAAGTTGTTGGAATTGAACAGGAATTCTGGTAAGTAAAAAAATTCTGGGATAAGTTCTTTTACGTCTGCCATGTTGTGCTTTGATGCTGAATACCAGGCCTCGCGCACACTGTGAAACATCCGGTCAGCCAGGTCAAAGTGGCCACCCTGTGGGCAGAATGAGAAGGCACCTCTCTATTAGAGAACCATTCCCACCTCACAGCTTCTGTCAAGTTCAAGGGCTTAAAAACCTCAAATATGTTTGGTGACATTTCAATCTCGCATCATCCTATGTTAAATACATGAAACTTAAAATCACAAAAGAAAACCTAGTCTCTTTGGAGTACTCCTTACAAAGGATGCTCAATAGATTGGTTTTATAATCAAAGTGAAATATAAATATAAAGATTTTTAAAAAGTCATTTAAAAATATTAGTTTTTAGACAGGACAAGACTGTAAGGAAATATAAATACTTCCATAATTTGATGATGCCCTTCTAAGAAAGAAGGTCTAATGTAAACCATTTATAGTTGGAAATATTCAAGTTATTATACATATACTTGGCTAATTTTAGAAATTAACATGACAATTCAATCACATGTGGTTGAACTGGGAATTAGAATTAAGTGGAGAATTAGGAAAGGTGATAGGAAAGTTACAGGTTGATGAAACAAGTTGAAAGACAAAAGGGTCTTTTGCGGCCTCATAGATACACTACCTTCCTTCTCCAGTCACACTGGTCCCTGTGTGTTTTAATGAACATGGTATTTACTGTGAGAAAATGCCAAAGCCCATGACAGCTAAGACTTGCCCCAGCCTGGCCTCTTTCCTTTCTCACTTCATCCCTTGTGACTCTCATATTTGCTTACTCCATTCTGAACACAAGGGCCTCCCTGCTATTTCTCCAAACACATCAGGCACACACCTTCTTCTGAGGCTCTGGCTCTATTTCTACTCAGAGCACACCTCCCTCAGGTGTATGTAGGAGTAACTCCTTCTCCTCACTGAGGTTTTTGTTCAGAGGAGGCCTACTCCCATTACTCCATTTTAAGCCCTTTCCCTCCCCACTTTACCTAATGTATATATATTTTCCTGATACCTTTAATCATACTCTAAAACACTTTACAGATTACTCATTCATTATGTTTGGCTGTCTCTCTCAACTGAGGTCTAGAAACTCCATAAGGCATCTTTCTTCACTGACAGTCTTCCAAGTACCTGAAACAGTGCCTAACACATAGTAGGCATTCAGTAAATACTTGATGACTGAATGAAAGAGAATGCAATTATAATCAAGAAGACACCAAATGAGTTAGGATATATCACTCTTTTTAGGTCCAGCAAAATTCTATTTAAATCTGTTTGACTACTTTGCTACTAAAACTTCATAGGCTTCTATAAGGCAAGACAATGCATTTTAAAGGAAAGAAGACTTGAATAGAATGGTCAAATTCCAAATTTAGGTTTTACCTGTAGCCTTAAGAATATCTGTGTGAAAGGCTCCATCCTTACAAGGTATGAGGCTACGATCATTGCAGATGAATAGTGGGTTCCATAGTGGTACGCTGGGGTTTCTCCTGTTCCAGATGTTCAAGCATAATAGAAAACAAAGAGGAAATATGAAAAATAAAATTGATATTAATCAACAGACTTGGAAATGCTAGCAAATGTATTTGTGAACTGTTACACTAAATGTAGTTAGCTATTGGCATTTGTAGCAGGAAAACTTCACAAAGACACCACTGTTCCCTCACTTAATGTCTTTGGCAATAATCCAAAGTAAGTATAATTCAATGGCTGGTTCTCAAAGCTTATTGTTAAAGAGCTAATCCTTAACAGCAAACCAGCTTCACTAGAGGAGAACACTGATTTATAGCTAATTTTTATCAGGTTCTGGCTTTGCAGTTATGTATTTTTATATATAACCTTTTTGGCAAAAAGGGAGGAAAGTGGAAAGAATCCAGACACATACACTAATAGGCTCAGGGTTTCCCCCCTTTGTTTGGTCTATTTGAAGTGAAAACACAATAAACATTAAACACAATAAATAACAAATGAATCATTTAATTAAAGAAAGCAGTTAATTTCTTTTTGTTAAATGCAAAAGGATTTCAAAAAGTCCTTCAATAAAATTAAAAGAAAGCCAATAAATCAAAATGTATTTCTTGGACTAAATATGATTAGAGACAGGGGCAGATTATGATGGGAAGTTTCTGCCAAAGGCAAAGCAGACACTCAGGTTTTGGCTGGTACTCTCAGGTTTTGGTTGGTACTCTGAAGAACTTGCTATAAATGCCTCCTAGGCATGGCCATAACAGCATGCAAAAATCTGATTTTTCTACTCTAATAATTTACATATATATAAGTGTATATATACACCATATATAATGATATGTAAGTAACTTGAGGAAGACTTCAAATCTGTCAGATCATTAAATAAAGGCCTACTTTTGAATCTTAGGTACAAGGTCCAGTGACAAGAAAATGTTACTTACCATTAGGATCCTCCCAGTCTTTATAACGCTTCTTATACTGAGCTAACCGTTCATCTGTTTGTGCTCCCATTGGCTTAGCCAGGTTTCTAAATGTCTTGGGATTAGTAAGATCTACCTCCTAAAACACAAAACAAAACCCAACGCAAGTTACTAGAACTCTGTATTCTGACCAACTTTGATACAGTGGCTGTAGTGGACAATGATGATTTATAAATGCATTTGTTGGATGAACAGGCAAAATGGACTCCAAAACCATGCTGCGTGTGGTGTTTCTCCACACTTTGCAGTCAGGCACATGGCATTTTGTTAACTGACTCAGTTTGAAGACAACTGCTTTGGAAGGCATTCAGGATCCAGACTTTGGGGAGAGGAAAAAAGAAAAAAAAAATGTTTCCAGTTCTTGCCAGCAGGAGACTGTGGACACAAGAGCTGTAATTCTTCATTATCCTCTGTCACCCGTATCACCTGACAACTCTCCTCTCAGTGCCCCACTCCCTGGTGCCCAACAGCTTTACTTCTGAGTATTTTCTTTTTAGAAGGATCTAGAAGTGATATTAGCTGAAGCACTCAGTAGCTCCTTCCTTTTAAAAAACATCATCATACCAGATCAAGTGACTTCCAAATGAGGTGGACTTTTTGAGACTACCAGAGATTATTTTAAAAGCTCATCTCTAGCTGATCTAAATCACTTATGTAAAAGGAAACCAATATTTACTCCCTGAGTGCTTTAAAGGTAGAAATTTGAAATATGTGCCTGTGGAATTTTCAATATGTGTCCTTTTTAGAGGACATCATGACAGACTTGTATTTTAAAAACCTTAGGAAGGGGAAACTGATTCACTCTGATCAGTGTAAGTCAAGTTATTCCATTTTTCCTCTTCAAGTCTACATGAAAAGTATCTCAATTATAGTTAGTTCAATAAACACTGAAGTGTACACTAAGTAACAACCATTGTTCTAGGTGTTGGGATTTGAGGAGATATATAGGATGACTATGTCTTCAGGACCTTACAATTGAATAAGGTCAAATAGCCTGACTACAATACACTGTGAAAAAAAGTACCATGATTAAAAAGGGGAAGAAACTGCCATGACACCCAACTGCAAGGCAGTGTGGGAATAGAAGCAGAGGACAGGGAGAGCAAAGGGCTCCCCTTCACAGAGGTGATGTACGAGTGTGTCTGGAGAGGTGCAGTGATGGTGGCAAGGTGTATCTCTAGATGGAGGAAAGATATAAGATGTATGGTGGAAAATTCCAGGCATGGGAAAGCTACTGAGGAACATTAAGGTATTTCAGGAGTGCAGTTCTGGGAGAACACTAGGGCTATATAGAAGCTATCTGGAAAGGCTACGGAGGCTGCTAACTCAGTCTCTGAATCTTTTTAAACAAGAAATGACTTGATTAGATTTATGTTTCTGAATCTGGATGGAGTGAGGGAAGAGAACATCAGAGCAGGAATCCAGTCAGAAGGCTGTTGTGATCGACCTAAAATGAGACATAAACAATATTGATGAAGGAAGATGCTAAAAGGTGTTTGAAAGGTAGACCTCCTCTGCCACAGCGTGCTACTTCCTGAGATGGGGATATGGGGAGTAAGGATTGGAACTATACCTGGAACATCAGGACCAGAATTAAAGGTTTAGTAATGTTCTTCTTAGATAGTTTGATACAGTCCTCACTCCCTCCCCATAAAAATGCATTATTTATGAACTTCCTGCCCCCTTTAAATCTCTATTTTCTTCTATATTTCCTTGGATAACTTAAAGAAAAAAGTTTCATTTTATCCATCTTTACTCTTGACTTCCTCTTCTCCATAATTACATTATTCACCCAAATATGTATAGATATGCATATTAACTATACATGCCCTATAGGGATTCACACATCAAATGTACTCACACCCATGAAGGTAGGGTTGACTTCTGTTCTTTCATTACATTAAAATTTTCTGAGGACAGAAGCTTTCTTCTTTTTCCCTAATATGATGATGTATAAAAATTCTGACAATACAAGCAGTTCTTATTCTGATGAATGAAAAGGTCCAATGAGTTTCTTAATTTTAGGAGTAATTAATCTTTTTTTTTTTTCCTTTTCTTGTTTGTCTATCAAGGGCCAAGCTTCTCTTTTTTTATCCTGTTACTAGTTCATTTCAGAGCTAATCAGGTCTTGGTAAGACAGAAGGCGAAGGAAGAGAGGAAAGATAACATTTCTATTTATCTTCATACTGACTTTTATCCCTAAGTCGTGTACATGCTTAATTGTTAGAAATGTTCTCCCAAGACTTCTTAGAAAAGTACACAAAAATTTGTTTTTCATGGCAGGAATATTTTGAAGAAGAGTCACTTCACAAATATTTACAGAAACAATTCAAACTACACAATGGTTTTGACATTAACTAATGGAAACCATTAGTTAATGCTTAAGAAAAGTGAATGGGCATGTGAATTAATGCTCAACACCCCCAAGTGGATCAATTATTTAAATCTTTTATATTGTATGTCCAAATTAAAACACTACTCATCCTCTTGAAGTAAATGCCTGTACCTACAGAGAACACTAAACTACAAAGTAAATAAGATATTTGGGCAAGTGCATTATCTTTAAATTTTTTTGGGGGGAATGTATTTCACTTAGGCAAAGTGATTTGAGATTTACCTCTGAGTCGTAATCTGCGAGGATCCAGGGAAAGACAGGATACTGCATGAGATCATTGTATGATCTGCCAGCCAAAGTGTTCAAGTGCATCAAATACTGGAAGTTGCTGATTTCACCTCTCTTGGAAAATATAATAAAGATTCATTTTACAGCAGTCAATTATTTATACTTGGTTCACTTTTTAAAAGTTTATATGCAAATGAGGTACAGATAGTTGGTTTTTAATAGATTTCAGAGTATCAAAACAATTTTTTTCCCCTAAAAAAACAAAAAGACAATTTTCTCTATGGTGTACATCTTCTTCATACAGCCAAAAGTTGTATGACTTAGATCCTTGACCTAAAAAATTACTGAGGAAATTTATAGTCACTAACTTACCTCCCATCTCTGAGTCACAGACTTCTCTCCAACCAATGTGCTAAGCAGCCCAGATCTAAAAAATTAGACAGAATAAAATACATTGCAGGTAATACAGTTTTAAATCTCAGCAATTATAGAATTTAAAATTTGGGGTCAGCTGGTACAGGAATTTTTCAAAGTACAGGGGAACTACTAATGGGTCATAAAATCATTTTAGAGGGTTATGATAAGAATTTTAAAATATGAATAACATGCAATGAACTGAAGTAAAAGAATATCAGAAGTCATGACATATACTAAGGGAAAGTGTTTTCTGTATTAATGATTCAATTGTATGTACTGGATAGTGATATCACAAAAATAAATAAATAAATAAATAAATACACACACACTTTAAAGTGTAGAGGTCATGGACAAAATATCTGGAAAAAAATTGATCTAATCCAACTTTTCTACTTTTTATTATAATCCCACATAAACAGATCCAAAGACATTAATGGTATAATTGAAATTATGCAATATTTTATGCATAGTAGGTACACATTATATCTCTTTTTTTAATATTTATTTTTTTAGTTGTTATTTGGACACAATATCTTTATTTATTTATTTATTTTTATGTGGTGCTGAGGATCGAACCCAGGGTCTTGCATGTGCTAGGCGAGCACTCTGCCGCTGAGCCACAATCCCAGCCCAGTGTATCTCTTAAGAAATATTGAGTAAGTGAATGAAAATATGAATATTTTATGAGAGGAAATTAATTGATGTTCAGGTCATTTAAAATTTATATATGGCTTTTTTGATAGCAAATTTTCTTAGAATACTATCAAGCCGTATTTAAAATTCATCAGCTTTATAACACTAATAACTAATAACTGGTCAAGGACAGGGGTTGTGGCTCACTGGCATAGAGCTTGCTTTGCACATGTGAGGCACTAGGTTTGATCCTCAGCACCATATAAAAATAAGTAAACAAAATAAAGATACTCTGTCCATTCATAACTACCAAATATTAAAAAAAAACTGGTCAAGGCACTAAAAAGTAAAGTATTTAACTATGTTCTTTATTATCTGAAAGGGAACCAGCAGATTTGTAAGCCTTAGGTCATAGACACATCTAGCTCAATAGGACAAAACACCACTTTCTACTTCTAGATGAATTCTTTTAAGCAGGCAAATTGAAGATGCAGGATAGTCTCTCTGGAAGAAGTTATGATCACTCCTCAGTTTTGTAAGACAGAAAACAACTAAAAAGGAAGAGTGAAGTAAGGAAAACATTTCTGCTTCTGACCTCTGATCTCTTAAAAGTTCTTTAAGAACTACTAACTCAGCATAGAAGGTAGTAAGAATTAAGGAATATCAAGTTTAAGATAATTTTAGCAGGTAAAAGTAGTAGCATTTTGCTTACTTCAAAAGCAGTTTCCTTAAAGCAAACTGAGGCTTTAAAAAAAGTAGGAGAAAAAAAAGCCTCAATTAACTTTTTACTTTCTGTATTTATGTTAACACCATGACAAATGATTTGGGACTGAACATGTTTCTGAGGTTAACAAAAACTTTTATCTTGAGTACCTGTGTTTGCTGAGTAAACAAAAATAAAAGCAACAACTTTAAGAGAAATACATTAATTTAATGTAATTAGATGTATAAGTATTGGAATAAAATTTTATTTACAAATTACAGAATATTTAGTAAAAAAAAAAATTGTTTTTTAAAATTTGAGTACTGGGAACCAAACCCAGGGCCTCCTATATGCTAGCCAAACACTGTACCACTGAGCTACATATCCAGTCCTTCTAATAAATTTTTAAGTCATTTTCATGCATACTGTAATAATTATAGTTTTCAACACAAAAGAATTGTATGGCTCCTTTTCCAGTGAATGCAAAGACATACCAGTGACTGAATAACTGCAAATAGAGCTAGATATATGAATTCTTGAAAAGGGTATCTCATTCAGAGAGACTTACTAAGATTAAAAGCAACTTTAATAGCACAAAGGAACCAACGACAGGTCTGAATATATAACAATATAAATTTTAATTAATTATTACTTCTGGTACTGAGGACTGAGCTATGTCCCCAGCCCCCCCCCCCCACTTTTTAATATTCTTTTAGTTGTCAATAGGTCTTTATTTTATTTATTTATATTCAGTGCTGAGAAACCCAGGGCCTTACACATACAAGGTGCACACCCTACCACTGAGCCATAACCCCAGCCCCCCAGCTCTTTTTATTTTATTTTAATCTTAGAACAAGGTCTCACTAAATTGCAGAGGCTAGTCTTGAACTTGGGATCTTTCTGCCTCAGCCTCCTATTTAACTAGGAATATAGGAGTGCTCCAACCCCACATATCCTGACAGAAGTTTAAATTTAAATGTCAGAGAGCAAAAGAGAAAGGAAAGTTGGCAATTTGTCACAAATAGGTGAAGCAAAGGAAAAATAAATACTTTATTACAGAAAAACACCTCGTAAATTGATAATAGGAACTCAAAGGAAAAATGGGCAAAAGATTTGTGTGATTTTCAATGATTAGAATGATAAACATATACGGAGTTCAAGCTTGTTAATAATTAAACATATATCTAAAAATGAGAATGAATGTTAAACCAGTAAGATTTTAAAAATTAACATACAAATCTGGCAAGTATTATAGGGACAAAGCAAACCTGTCTAATAATGGTAGAAAATAAACTCGTATAATTATTATGAATATCAGAATCAAGAGCCTTAACATTCATAAACTTTATTATACTAAAAGGGACTCTATCCTACAAAATAATGAGGAATCACATTTCTAGTATCATAATAAGAAAATCCATAAAGACAAAATATCCAGAAAAACCAGAGTGATGGTACACACTTATAATCCTAGTGACTAAGGTGGCTGGGGCAGAAGAATTCCAAGTTCAAGGCCAGCTTAAATAACTTAGTGAGACCCTCAACAATCTAGTGAGATCCTGACTCAACATAAAAAAAGGAATGAGGATGTAGCTCAGTGGTAAAGTGCTCCTGGGTTCAATATAAAATACCAAACCAAACAAAAAACCCAAGATGTTTTATACATCTGATGAACAGGTTAAATAAAATAAAATTTATGAATAAAATTTATGCTTCTGAAGACTTTTTTAAAGATGGGGGAAATATTTAAATATAGCACTAAATAGAAGCAGAATAAATACTTGTATTCAAAGTACAAATTCAAGTGTATGCCTAACAACATATGTATCCTAAAAGATTAGAAAGGGTACTGATAAAAATGTGTGCAATAATTTGAATAAGTAATTACGTATGTTTTTCTTTCTTTTCCTTCTAGTTTCCAGTATTTAAAACATTTCTACAACCACCATGGGCTATAGAAACACTATTAAATAAGTTAAATTTTACTCTCCAGATACAAGTCATCTTAAATTTATGATTAACTAAAATGTGCAAGAAGCTCACCACCTACCCCTGCTCCACACTAGTGTTCGGCCGCTGCCCAGACACAGATTCTGAACTGTCAGTTAGAGATGGCACTACTGCCAAAAACCTGGAAAATTTAGAAATAGATAAAATTGCAAATGAAGTCTCAGTGACAATCTAATGAAAGCTTAAAAATGGATGATTCATGTACATCTCCATTATTGCAATGACCCTCCCATTTCCCAGGAAAAGGGAATAGATAATAATTAAAACACAAAATATAAAGGTCCACAGCAGATTTTAGCCTTTTACTTGTGCTGTCATGACACCCAATGGGTTTTAAAATTGATTTTCAGGAACTGAGTCACCTTGATAATATTTAATGAGGGAATTCAACTGAATATTCACATGATGGTAGATAATGATGATAGCTGAACAAATGATAAAAAAGGGACTTCACTAAAGAAATGAAGATACATAAAGACATAACTTTTATGTGATACCATAAGAAACTTTTTCTCAGAGCTGCTCTCATGTCAATATAATTTTTTTAAAGGCAAAAGAGAACTATGGGAAAATTCCTGGAATGGCTGTGGATCATGAATGTCACATATGCACAGATATTTCTCTTTACTGCAGCTTATAATCATGAGGAATAAATAACTTCCTAGTATCAGCTTTAGAAACTGACAAGATAAATAAGCAAAAGTGAATCTTTTTTTTTTTTTTTTTTAATTGTTGGCTGTTCAAAACATTACATAGTTCTTGATATATCATATTTCACAATTTGATTCAAGTGGGTTATGAGCTCCCATTTTTACCCCATATACAGATTGCAGAATCACATCAGTTACACATCCATTGATTTACATATTGCCATACTAGTGTCTGTTGTATTCTGCTGTCTTTCCTATCCTCTACTATCCCCCCTCCCCTCCCCTCCCCTCCCCTCCCCTCCCCTCTTCTCTCTCTGCCCCCTTTACTGACATTCGTTTGTCCCCCTTGTATTATTTTTCCCCTTCCCCTCACTTCCTCTTGTATGTACTTTTGTATACCTCTGAGGGTCTCCTTCCATTTCCATGCATTTTCCCTTCTCTCTCCCTTTCCCTCCCACCTCTCATCCCTGTTTAATGTTAATCTTCTTCTCATGCTCTTCGACCCTACTCTGTTCTTAGCTACTCTCCTTATATCAAAGAAGACATTAGACATTTGTTTTTTAGGGATTGGCTAGCTTCACTTAGCATAATCTGCTCTAATGCCATCCATTTCCCTGTAAATTCTATGATTTTGTCATTTTTTAATGCAGAGTAATACTCCATTGTGTATAAATGCCACATTTTTTTTATCCATTCATCCATTGAAGGGCATCTAGGTTGGTTCCACAGTCTAGCTATTGTGAATTGTGCTGCTATGAACATCGATGTAGCAGTGTCCCTGTAGCATGCTCTTTTTAGGTCTTTAGGGAATAGACCGAGAAGGGGAAGAGCTGGGTCAAATGGTGGCTCCATTCCCAGCTTTCCAAGAAATCTCCATACTGCTTTCCAAATTGGCTGCACCAATTTGCAGTCCCACCAGCAATGTACAAGTGTACCCTTTTCCCCACATCCTCGCCAGCACTTGTTGTTGTTTGACTTCATAATG